ATGAGGAGGTGCTGAAAAGTTCCAGATCCAACCAAAAAAACACTTCCCACCAAAGAAAATCCAATGTTTAGTCAGGTTTTTGCAAGTAGATAATGTCAATAACTTTTCAGCTCCCCCCTTCATATATGATAAATATGAATTCTTGTCTACCACTTAAGTTAATATTATGTTATGCATTTGTTATACTGCATTTTCTTGTGTATAATACGACTTGAGTATGACATGACCCCATGTTTATGAAGCTAAAAACAGGGAATAAATTACATCCTTTAGTATAATATGATCTAAATAGTACAGTCATCATTATGTAATATTTTTTTCTTTTTGAAAAATTGCACCATATTATCCATTAAAATCTTAAATGTCATACATATATTCCACTAAAATATTTTAATTTTTTACAATATTAAAGAATAAAAATGAACTGGATGTTTAGCCATTGTGTGTTTCTTTTAATTTCTGTTTCAAAATTTATTTTGGGTGTAAGGTGCTTATTAGACATACCTGGTATGTTAATTTTTAAGGTATTAATTAATCTATTGTACTTCTCTGTTTGATATGACTTGATTATATTTCTATATATTAATAAACTATGAAAATCAAATAAATATTGTACTTCATTAAGAATGAAGAGAGAAAACTTTATCTTGCGAGCAAAACTGTTCTAATTTTAAGCATTGTGCTTATAAATGGAAGAATATAAAACAACTTCACAGCATGGGAATTATCGTCCCATTTTTCAAGTGAAAAAGGCTAAAGTGTTCACAATTTATACAATAGTTAGGACTTTGTTGTAACATTTAATGTTATCAAAACATGATAGGCCTTGTGTATTCTTTTTTTTTTTCTATCTTTGAGACAAAAGATATTCAGTTACCCTGATTCCCAAAGAACGAATATGCAGCTGATATGTCAAATACATTTTGTAAACATTTGTTATCAACACCTGCCTATTTTGTGTTTTATTATCTGTTGTGCTATTTATTTTTAAATATTACATTCCATGTAGCACAAGGCCAAAAGTGAGGAGCACCCAGTGAAGATCAAACTCCCTACTAAGTCTTAATTAATACTAGCAAGACTAGTTTGCTAACAATTGCACCACATTGAAGTGATCTTATCTATTATGCTGACTAAGTGTATTTGCAATGTTGCTGTTTCAAATAAGAGTTTTTTAAGCTGAGTAAAAGTTTCTGAAAATGTGTACTTGTGTATAATACACACACCCCTGACCTTTTTTTTTTGCCATTTAATTTTCATTCAAAATGTCTCTTATTATATCCAAGAAAATACGGTATATCATGAAAATCCCTAATATCCTCTGTTGACATTTTTTATTGGAAAATAAAATTAAATCTTTAAAGGAAATATTAAAGTGTAATATTATTCTATTTTTCAAGTTTTCAGTCTCTGAAGATTCTGATTGTGATGGACTTTTGGCACATTTCCATGCCCACGCCAATGAACCCGTGGCAGCCATGGCTTTTGACCCAAGTGGCACCTTATTGTTAACAGCTTGTAAATTGGGACACAACTTCCATGTGTTTCGTCTCATGACTCATCCCTGCGGTTCATCACTGGGGGCTGTGCATCATCTGTACACCCTCCACAGGGGAGACACCACAGCAAAGGTGAGTCTCAAGCAATACATAAATTTATAAAGATTAGGCTTTTGCTATTAGATAACACTTAGATGTCAGATGAACATTGGAGAGTGCAGTAGTAGTAGTAGTATGCTGTGTTACTTAGAAACATTCAGAAGGTCAAAAAAAGTCAAAGATGATGTGACTATATCATTAGGCAACCCTCAAGAGATATCAGATAAACAATAATTACATTTTTGGCAATGTGAGAAGCATCAAGAGAGAAAACTGTAACTTCTTGTTGAATTTGAAGTAATAATTTTACATTGATTCATTTTGACTACATATATAGTCTTTCTTGTATTTTTTTACTCCAACATTTTGCCTTTCCCTCCTCAAATGTCAATTACATTCATGAGAAAATCAAAACAGAAAAATAATACTTCAGGAATGTTAGAAAGTTGTAATACTTGGAGAGACTTTAGAATCAGGTATGCCTGATCATGTATAGAAAGATGGGTATACAAACCCCATGTATGGAGAGTAAAATCTTAGTGTCAATACCTTAGTGTCTTAATTCTCTTCAAATTGGACTTACAGCCATGTCAAATTGAAACACCTGTTCTCAAAGTTGAGCAGTGTAAAACATGGTCAGTACTTAGATGGGTGACTGCTTGGGAATACCAAGTGCTACAAGATTGGATGTGCAGTGGTGTAATGGGTAACGACTTGAAATTGGAGAGCCAAGTTGCAATTCCAGCCAGGTTGGTTATATTCAACTACACTAAAATAGTCTTGGAAAAAGTGTGAATCTACCTCTTCTCTCCCCAGCTATGGGGTAATTAGTAGGACTTGTATGAATAAATCATTGTTAACAAAAATTCTTTCAATCTAAAAATATTTCCTGGCTTTAGATAACTTACAAAAGGTTGATAAACTGTTAAAAACACAAAAACAATTTTTCAACTTACTCTCTCTCTCTCTCTCTCTCTGGAACTTCACATATTTATTCCAGCATCAGTGCTTTTCAAAACAATCTGCAATGTTCTCTTTTAGGATTACCATCAGCTGCATCATTATACTCTCCTTAATCTTATGTGTGGTCGGAAACCGCCTCTTTTAGCCAGAAATCATGGGAGAGGGAGCCAAATCTGGATGATAGGGTGACTGATAGACCTGGCTGCTGTGATGGTTTGACACCACCCCTGCCCCGCAAAAAGCAGAAAGTTTCAATTTAAATCTACTTGCTTAGCAATTGATAAAATGATATCCGAACGATGGGATATATAAAAACCAGATTTTTTTAAAGATGTTTCTATGTACAAATTTCATTGATTTATTCACAAATATTTATTTTTAATTTTATTAACAGTTAATTTTTCAAAAGACTTTTCCTGAATTTTTCAGTTCTGATGATGTATTAAATTGTGGTTTTCTCAATATAGCTTATATGTGGCACAAGGCCAAAAGTATGGGTCACCCAGTGAGGATCAGACTCACTATTCAGTTGTAATTCATCTAGCAAGACAAACTAATCATTATATCAAGGGTTGGCAACCTTTTGCTAACTATATGCCGACTTAGGGTTTTAAAATCATTCAGTATCCCAACAGCATATGTACTTTTTTATTAGTCAAGGTCAATATACTTGTTCTACAATATATTTTATATAGTAATATATAGTATATATATACTTTAGTATATATTAAAATTGAAATGGCTAAATATTTTTTTGCGTTGTAGTAGTTATTGTTTCGGACTTTGTGATGTCATTTGCGGCTGCGTGCCATTGGAAATTGCTTGGCATGGCACTGCATTATACTACATCAAAGTACCCCTGATGATGTTCTAAATGAATGAAATGTTGATAACAGAATAAAAAAAGTTTTTATATATTCCATCTTACATACTTTGTTTAGTAATTGTACATGTGATAGTCATACTATAACACAGCTGGCCTGGCTCAATCCTGGGTTGTTCCTAAACTGGTCAGCATTGACGCTGGTCAACTGATGGTTATCTGTTGACAACTTTGTTCCTTCATCTGCTCTGCCCATAGTGTGTTCTTTGATCACAGTGTAGTGAGGATCAAATTTTCGTCCATGCTTTAAGCGCTAAATCAAGTTTGTAGAGCCGTGCTATGAAAAAGGACAAGAATGCTTCTGCCAGGGAAAACACAAATATCATAACAAATAACAAAGAAGGCTGCTGGGTTAATTTTCAGTGGGTTTATATAATTGTTGATACAACAAAATTAACCCTTCTTGTTCTACTCTTTCCTGATACTGTATTTCTTGCTCGTAAAATTTTGAACAGGTTAAACATTCATAAGAGATGTTAGGTTGTCGGGAATTTTCATCATCAAGGCTCATCATCAGTGATTCTCTCAGTAACCGGTACCCTCTGATAGCCTCTTGTGGCTTCTAGTCATCTCTTGCAACTGCTTTTCCTGGCTTCAACCAAGCATTCAGTTTATATGCATTTCACCCAACTCTTACTGCCCCTGAAAGCTCATTCCATATTCATCAATTAATTATTTTCTCCAACCCTGGAGACATGACATTGACAAAGCAGTCAGTTATTTCAAAACAAACTTTGTTTTACACATTTCTTGCAACTATTGGATGTTTTATCAAAACAATTTTTCCCATCAGCAATTTAAAAAATTTATTTCTAAAGTATTTCATTTTGTTTGTTGAATTCCAATGAATTCTCTCTGCTTGTTGATTTCCAAAATGACTGATCTAACATCTCACTGTTTACATTTTGCCTTTACCAGAATTTGCTTTCCGGCCAACAATGACCTTCAAATACCAAACGGTCAACTTTTCAAAACAAAATTATTTATTTCGAAGTGGCAAGAATTTCTCAAACTATTTTACATTCCACTTTTGTATTCATAACAATTCTTATTTGCTTTTCTATATTTTGGACTTAACATTCTGTTTAGTGTTTCTGTTTATCAGAAAGGAAAAAAAAGTAACATTCTCTCTCCCCTCTCTCTTTCTCCCTCTCTTTCTTTCTTTCATTCACACACAATAGATGATCTCCCCTACCCCTTTTTCTTTTCCTCTCCCTCCCTCTTCTTCTGATCTTTAAGATGAGATCATCTATTGTGTGTGTATGTCACCACAAAATGTATCCTTTCCGGTTACATCTTTAATGTATTAGACATCCGACAACATTCATATTTCTCTCACTTGAACTGTTTTTGACTCCCCTCTATAAAACTTCTCTCTGTTAAATTTTAATCTCCCACCTTCTCTCATCTGTTGCCCCTCTCTGTAGCTCTAACATTTGTCCCACACTCTCATACACTCTCTCTAAATTTTATTTTTTATTTCTGGAGTTATTTTTTCTGTTTTCTTTTTGAATTTGTAGGTCTGATGAATTGGATCATATTTACAATTCCAATGGAATAAATTATGACCATGGAATATTAGTGTTTAAGCCTTTTTATTATATATATATATATATATATAGAGAGAGAGAGAGAGACAATATTAATAAAAGAAGTGACAAGAGAAAAACCTTCTATGTCAATGCATTTCATAACTTTATCAACATAGGTGTGGAAATTTTATTAAGTAAATAAAAATTCTACATTTGATAAAGTTCCTCAAAGCCCAAAATGTGTTTGGATAAAAGGTTTTCCACTTGTCATTGCTCATTAATTATATATATATATATATATATATATATATATATATATATATATATATTATTGAGTTTGGGGTGTAGGGAGGAAAAAAATGAAACTTGTCCTGAATGGCTAATCTTCTAGATCTTTTGTACTAATGCAGGTCTTCCCGAGGGCTGTATCCTCAGACCTACTTAGTTCTTAATTTTCATCAATGACCTTCCTGATGACATCAGTTCTCAACTTGATATCTATACTGATAACACAACCATCTACTCCTCTCTCGACAATAAGTCTGATACATTCAATAAGGTAAAATTGGCAGCTGATTTGAGGATGGCTTGTTAATTTTAATGCCCCCAAGACTAAACTGCTATCTATCAATCGCCTGAAAGACTCTTTCTTGCCTCCCATCAGCATGGCTGATGCCAATCTCCATGAAAGTGACTCATTGCACCATCTTGGTCTTACATTTTTGACTGAAATGAAATGGAAAGGTTATGTTGACTCCATTACTAGATCTGCTGCTAAGAAAGTTGTTTCACTGTGTCATGTTAGACAATTTTTCTCTCCTGAATAAATCTTAAATATTTATAAGTCTACAATTCACCCATGCTTTGAATATTGCAGCCACATATGGTCTGGTACTCCTGATGTAAATTTAGAAATCCTTGATAAAATCCAAACAAGAATCAGCAATATTATTGGTCCTGACCTGGCATTTCAGTTTCAGACACTTTCCCCCCCACCATAATGTAGTTAGTTTCCCTGAACCTTTTCAATAAATACTATTTTATTTTATATACTGGTAATTGTTAAGATATACTCTTTGCTATGATAGCTAAACTTTATGAAATTAAACACAATACTAGATTAGCAGCAAAATCTCATCAATTCACAGTTGTATTGGCTAGAGATGTAACTATAAAATCTATCCTAACAGTTTCTTTTCTTGCTTGTGGAACTCTCTTCTGGCTCCATGCTTTCCAACAAACATTGATTCTTAATTTAAATGCAATGTCAATCATTATCTAGTCTTTTTGATAATTCTTCTATTGTTTTCACTCCTTAATAATGTTTCTATTTTTCCTTATTTTTTCACACTCATTAATCACCTTGTGTCTTAGTGGCTTTACTGCCTAGCATGGAGTGATATATTTTTAAAAAAATAAATATTGTTTCCTATTCATTGTTGTTTTTTCAATTTTTTTCTTTTTTTCAGGTGGTTGACATGGCTTTTTCTCTTGACAGCCGTTGGGTTTCTGTCAGTACACACAGGGGAACGACACACGTCTTTCCCATCACGAGTTATGGAGGTACGGATTTAAAACAAATCTTGATTTTTAGACTGAGGATGGTCAATATTTTTTTTTTTTTTTTTTTTTTTTTTAACAAGATTTATGATTGAAATTTTAAAAATTTTAATGTTATGAATGCTTAAAAAATGTTTTCTTTTACCTTTTTAAATTAAAAACAAAATTTTGCCAAGTATTCAGCAAGGGAGATAATCATTCACTGCAATTACTTGCCAAATCAGTTTCCCCACTCCTATTAATATAGATTGCTCAAATCTCTGAAAGAATACCCAAGACATTTGTCATCTGATGTGTAATTTTATTTCTGCTTAATCACAGGTCCCGTAAGCATCCGTACACATTGTAATCCTCGAGTTGTGAACAGGATGAGCCGATTCCACAGAAGTGCTGGGCTTGATGAGATTGAACGCACTACCACTGGACGTCACAGTCCAGTTCTGTCAGGAAGCCCAAGTTCGACAGGTGTGTTTTAATTTCTTTTACTATTCATTTTTTAAATTTTTAACATATGCAATGGATAAATTGTCATCTAAATTATGTGAAAATGAAAATAATACTGACATCTCATTTTAACAGATATATTTACCAAAATGACACAAAAATATCTTGAAATACTAAAGAGTAAATTTATTCAATAAGATCTCCACTGGCTTCAACTACAGCCTCCATATGACTTTGGAATCTCCTGCAACTCTTCCTTGTTTAAGTTAGTGAATGCTGCCATAATCGTTGCCTTCAGTGCATCTTTGGTTTTACAAGTTTTGTTGGTCTCTTACTCAACTGTACCCCAGACATAATAATCAACAGGGTTGCAGTCTGGGGACTTAAGTGGCCAAATGTGAGGGATGATGTGGTCACAGAAATTGTCTGACAGCCATGACTGGGTTCTCCTGCTTGCGTGGCATGGTGCAGAGTCATGTTGCCAGATGTAGTGTCTTCCAACAGCCACCCTCTTGACCCAGAGTAACACAATCTCCTTAAGGGACTTGATGTAGGCCTTTGTGTTGAGGCCCTGTAGGAAGATGAATGGAGGCATAATGTCTCCATCACTAGTGATCATTCCAAACATCTTCATAATCCCCAACTCATCCAACTTTTTCCAAATCCTCTGCACTGTCCTTCTGAAATGTTCACATTGGAGCTTCTGTCACAGATGCCAAGCAGTACACAATGCCTTTTCCAAATTTCTGGTGGAGTAAATTACATCATGGTGTTCTTTTTTCTCACAGACAGTGCCCAGCTGACCCCACTATACTGTGCAGTTAAAAAAATGAAAAACAAACCATGCACATGCACAAAATTAAAAATATAAAATGGCAACAATTTACTCAGAGCACCCTGTTTTTTTTGTTTTTTTTTCTGAATTTAAAAGTTGTCCTCCAGCATTAATTTATTTGATCTATAATTTTCATAGAAACACAATGTTTCAACCATATACTCTTTGACCATCTTCAGGTGTCTTCTATTAGTTGATTCTTGTGTTATTTCATCTGTATTATACTGTTTATTGCTCACTCTTGATGATCTAGGGATTGAACTTCTGACCACCAAATAACTAATATTTTTCAACTAATCCTTATCTCTCCAAACATTATCAGTTGATATCAATTAGCAGTTTCCAAGAACCTATACTAACAGCAAACAGCCTGCATATAGATAGAAAATGTGTTCAGCAGATATACAATAATAGAAAAGGGTGTAAGTCTTACACCTCTTTCTATTTTTGTATATCTGCTGAACACATAGGTTGAATAAGGTTGTTGTATGTCTTCTCACTGAACTTATTCAATCTATAGATTGAGCTGATTTTGAGAGAACTAGAAGTCCTACAAAAATTCTTAACATAAGGTATGCAGATGATATAGTGTTGATAGCAGACAAAAAAAGAAAGCCACAAAAATTCCTACAGAAGTTCATAAAGGAAAGCAAGAAAAAAGGATTAAACATCAACTGCAAGAAAATAGAATGCATGGTTGTTAGCAAAAGGATGAACCCAAATTGCAAATCGCAGATACCAAAATCAAACAAATGCGGAAATTTAAATATCTGGAAATGAGGAGGAGGAGGACAGAAAGTGTGACCCTGAAATCCAAAGACACGTTGGGATAGCCAAAGATGCCTTCCAAAAGCTAAACAGAGTATTAAGAAATAGAAAAACTTTGGTAGAAACAATGAAAAGAGTACTAAACTGTTATATGATATCTGACCTCCTGTATAGCAGTGAGTGCTGGACAATCTTCTCAAAAATGAAGAAGAGACTTGAGACAACAAAAATGTGCTTCTGCAGAAGGATACTGAGGATACTATAGACTGAATATGTGAGCAATGACAAAGTTTTATAGAAAATGGAAACAAAAAGGAAGCTTATTTTTAATACCAGGAAGAGACAATTGAGGTTTCTAGGGCTCATAGTGAGAAAAGAGGGCTTGGAAAATCTGATACTCACAGGACAGATTGAAGGCAAGAGGGACAGAGGAAAATGATGCATAACATACTTAGTGAGCTTGAGTAAATGTATGGCGGAACAGGGTTTAGGAAAAATAACAAAATTTATTAAGAGTTATAAGGACAGGAAGTTGTGGAGAGCCATCATCATCACCTATATCCTAAGGGGGCATGGCACATAAAGAAGTCACACTATTGTTTTGTTTTCTTTGTGAATTCAAAATATACAATGAATGCAAGATATCTTTATCAGCCAAAATACTTTTTTTTTTTTTTCTTTAATAGACACTGATTTCCATCCCATCTCGAATATTTCTCTGAATTACTTTTTATCTCTATGATTCATTTTTGCTTAGTTATTACTTTGGAGTATTTTCAGTTATTGCAAACAGTTCAGAATTTAGTTGAAAGGAATAATTTATTGAAATCATATCCAGTAAATTGTAAAAAAAAAAAAAAAAAAGAAATTATTGAAAATAGAAAATGCAGTCAAAAGATGTGTAAAAGAACTTCTTGTATCTGAGACAGAAAGATGCAAAAAAAAAAACGCTAATGTTATTTTTATAATTTACTAAGCCATATTAATTGCTCTTAAATGATTGTGGGTGTGCAGGTGGTATAATGGATAGCAGCTCAGAATGAGAAATTGGAGAGCCAAGTTTGAATTCCAGTCAGGTTCGTTACATTCATTTATGCACAAATACCCTCGGGAAAGGTCTAGATCTATCGCCTCTTCCCAGCTATGGGTTAACTTTAATTTGAAAAACTTTTTGTTCTCAAGAGATTGTTAATGTAATATTCACTTGCACCCCCCTCCAAAAAAATAGAATTATTCTTCCAAACCAAAATATGTTTTAAATTTAATTAACCCAAAAAGGGTTGATAAGCCATAAAAAACAATCAATCTAAAATAGTCACTTCTCTAAGGACTTGTTCTTTGCTGCTTAACTTCAGGTTGCAATTGGTACTTTTTAGTATGATTCAAACAAAGTTAAATTTTAGGTTGTACACTTACTAAATTTGCTTTTTGCTTGTATGTCTTATGGCCAGATCACATTGAAAAACTGGTTCCAAAGTGAAGAAACATTGAGCCTGGTCAGTACCTAGATGGGTGATTGCTTGGGAATACTGGGTTCTGTAAGCTTGGATGTGCGGGTGGTGTAATGGATAATGACTCGGAATGGAAATTGGAGAGCAGAGTTCCAATTCCAGTTGTGTTCATTATATTCACTTATGTGCAAATTCCCTTGGGAAAGCTATGACTACTCCACCTCTTCTTCCCCCACTTATGGATACTTACTTGACCCCCCAGTGAGTCAGGTTGTGACACAAGGTCAGGTTTTAACATAGGGATCCAAGTGTTTTCACTCAGGCCACTGGTCTAAGCTTGTCATAGCTGGTCCAAACTGGTCAGAGCCGGTCTAAGGAAGTCATAGCCATGATACCACCAGCCCAGGGATGGAGCCCTGGGGCAGGGAAGTATCATCTTCCCCCAGTTATGAGTTAATTAGTAAAACTTGTATCACTAAACAATTATCTCAAAAACAAAAATTCTTACAATCTAAAAAAAATATTTTCTCTCTTGAAATAAATTGCAAAGGGTTGATAAACTGTAAAAACATCTCTGGTATCTCTAACAGTTTTGATTTGAGAAAGTAAAAATCATTGAATTTTAATTGATTTGAAAAAGTAAAAATCACTGAATTTAATTGATTGCTTGATAACTTCCATTTTGATCAATATTTTAGTGTGCAATTCACCCCAGAATAGACTTTGCATTCAATACCACACCAGGCCATCAAAAAATCCAATTATATCAGTGGGTTGATCTGAGAGATGACCTCCTAGCTGCAGGGGTGGAGATCTGTGCTTCATTCAATGTCAGTGGTTGTCCATGACATACAAACATGATCAGCCCAGTTGCACCTAGGATGTGCACACATGGTGGGGTGGAGAAGTATGACAGGTAGATATATAAGCTCCCATATAGGACAGAGAGTGAAAGAATGGTACAATATGTCCTTGTAAGAAAGTAGGGTCCATGTTTGGAGATTGCCCCAGAGCTATACACTTACTGGCTGATGGTAAGTCCAGAGTGAAATACAGTTTCATGTTTTCATTTGTATTATATCCTACTCCATTTATGTTTAATTTTACAGTATTGGCAAACTTTAATCGTTGTACCCCAAAAAAGAACGTGTCAAAAGGATGGTCTTTCTGTTGGCACCACTATTATCTTACCTTCATTTCTTTGGCAATGTTTATTTACAAGATTTTAAAAATATGTGAACCAAGAAAATGTAATGTTTACTTTAAATACAGCTGTACTTTTTGAATACAGTAAATGGATATATAGTTTAGTCAACAGCGTAGTCAGTTTTTTTTGTTTTTTTTTCTTTGCACGTATTACCATTATTAAGAAAAGGATCATTTTATATCGCTGGGATTTTTTTTTTTTTTTTTTTTTTTCTATCAACAAAATCTTATTTTGGATTATTGTGTCTATATTATTTGCTTTCCCCAAAATGTTTTGTGATAACACTGCTAATAATTATTTATTTTCTTTTTTGTAAATATCTACAGCAGGCATCCAAGAGTTGTATCCCACTTACACACGCCAAAATGCCCTCACCAATAATTTTGGCAACCCACGTCTGCCACCATACCCACACCCTATACCAATCTACCCCCTTGCTCAGGTCAAGCAGCCAACTGCTAGCCTGTCTGGTATTACGACAACTGTCACTGGTGCTAGGAGCATAAACCCTACATCCCAGTCAGCAATGGCAGTCACTGATCAACCTGTGTCAGCCGTTGCTTGTTTTGCAAGTCCAAGATGTTGTGTTGGATTCACTCCTCCCATTCCAATTGAGAGACGAGGTCAGTGAGTACTAAATTTTTTCTCAGATTTTTGTTTTCGTCCTTTAAAACAATATGTATATATATTACATTATTCACATTATTCAGACTGTTATCTTCGTCTTCATTGCCGTATTCACAACGTTTCAGCCATTGTACACTCTGACCTTCTTCAAGTGATTGGAATTTCAAATTGAACCGTTTAATTTGTCCACCGAAGTAGATTGTTCTAGTTCCACATGCCATGCCTCTTCCAAATGTCTCAGTTATTTCCATTTAACTCAACTCTCCAAGTTTGGTTCACCACTGCTGTGGCCTGGTTTTGAACTCGCAACTCTTTATGTCTAGTCACTGGATCTAAAACTTTATCCACTGAAATTCCAATCACCTGGAGAAGGCCAGAGTGTAAACTGCCGAAAAGTTGTGAATATGGCAATAAAGATGAGGATAACAGTCCAAATAATGTAAGTAATCATAATACCTCATCTCTGAGATATAGGCAGATATTTGTGTGTGTGTGTGTGTGTGTATATATATATATATATATATATATATATAATCATCTTTTCCCATTGCCATTAATTTCTGAAACTGTAGAATGCTTAATTTGTACATTTCTTAACTAGAAGAAAAAAAGACCTTGGCCAATTTTAAAAATGTCTTCAAAAAAACAGTTTGTCAAAAGAAGAGTCTTTCTTTAGACACTGCTATTTTCCTGGCCCTTTTTATTATTTTAAAAGCTATTTTTTAAATTTTATTAAAACCAAAAAATATGAAACTGGATTTATGCATTGTCTTTTTTTTCTTGAGAATTGACAACAAAAGAATTAAACACTATATCTGTCTATATTTCTGAGATGAGTTATTTGAACTACAGGGTGCCCCACAAAAAAAACAGGAAATTTTAGATTTACTATATGATGAAAAAAAAAAAATTAACTAACATAAAAAAAAATTAACTTTCTATTTTACTATATGAATGAACTAAAATATTAACTAACAGAATTTTTAAACCGTTTGTTATTCCAAGATGCTACACTTATCAAATTTTCAACATGAGGTGATTGTTCCATTTAAGAAAGAACATCCAACTTGGTGAATGAAAAAAGTTCTTTAGTTTGAACACCACACTTGTGTTTTTATTCTGTTTCAAGCTACTAAATTTTCATTTTTTGCTTTTGTTTCAAATAACAGTAACAAGAATTCCAACAATTAAATAAAATGTACCAAATTTCCTGTTTTTTTTGGGTTTTTTTGTGGGGCACCATGTTTAATGTATTTTTAATACATTAAAAATATCTGAACAAGAAAATTTAAACACATGACAAATAACTATAATTATAAATTTTGGAAAACTGCATTTTCTGAGCATTTCATTCACTTTTGAAAAATCAATTCAATAAAATAGAAAATTGAAAGCTGAGAAAAAAAAATGTATAAATCCAGTTTCATATGTTTGAGTTTTATTGAAATTCTAAAAATAACTTTTTAAAATCATAAAAATTGCTGAGGGTGTATACAGTTTTAGCATTTTGACAAACATTTCTTTTGTACAGAGCTGGGGGTACATTTGTAAAACTCTACCAAAAATCTATTTAATTATAATTTTTCTTTAAACAGAAACATTCTGGAAATTTGTGTTTTAAATTACATATTCAATAAGCACATTGCGGGACTTAACTGCATTTTATTTTTTAATGAGAATCATAAAGATTTAATGTTTTCTCTATAAATTCAATGTTTTGATTGCTTTTGTGTTTTGTTTCCCAGAGGGCAAGAAACCATTTGCTTCATTATATATTGTGGGTCATGAAGGTCTTCTCACAGAATATGATCTGGAACCAAGACCCAAAGCTGCCCCAACAGACAAAATTTCAGATGACACACCTCTGGAACTTGTTGTCACTGGACAGTGTCAGTGGCATTTACAGCGGTAAGCCACACTTTTACAAACCACTGCAACATTCATCACTTTGAAATAGTTTACAGTGATTTGTAGAATGTACATTCTTATGTAAATTCACCCCCTGTTAGGCCGATCACATAGATTTGGGTATAAATCTACTTTATTATTGAATCTTGATGCAGAAATTAATTTTTGTCTGAACTACTAAAATAAGAAATTATTATTTATACATGTTTATTTGTCTGTTTTACCTTTGTCCAAATGAATCTGGTATCAGGAATTTTGTTCTCATGAATAGATTGATTCCTATTTTAGAACTACACATTTTAGAACATGGAAAATACCTTTTGAGGAATCTATCATTTAAAGCTCGGGTTGGCAACTTCTTTGTCTCTTACAGGTCGGATCAAGTATAAAAAATGTTTTAAATACATAGCAGCCAAAAAATTAATGGGAAACTTGATGTTTTTTGTTCCTTGAAAGCTTCTCAATATTAGGCTTCAAACTGGTTGATGCCAAGAGCAAGATATTATCAAGGGGATTATCAGTTAACCTTTTTCTGAAATTGTTCTTAGTTTTCTTCAGTTTGGATAATAATTGTACACTTTGATAAGTGCTTTGAAACAAAGATGCCATCTTTTTTGCATGTTTCACTAAGTTGGTATTCTTCCCATTTGGAAAAATATATTTTGCATAGAAATCAATCAATGAAATGTTTTCAAAATAAAATTTAAATCTCAATAAGTTACCACACTGCATATCAATCAGTTTAATTTGAACATATCAAATGTTAATGCAAAGAATTTAAACTGATTTGCATGCAGACAAAAGTCTGTAAAGTGTGATACAAATTATTTTCTCAAATCCTGGATTATATTCAGAAATACCTCTAAATCCCTTACTTGAAATGATGGAAAATGCACATAATTTTTATTTCAAAGTTTGTTCCCACAACTGTAGCCTTTTTTTCTAAGACAACAATATGGTTATACATTTCAATTATGAGTTGAGTTTTATCTTGAAGTCGAAAGTTATTTAAATGAATCACAATATCCACGATAATTGCCAAAGTTGCAAGCCAATCAGGATCTCGTTTGCTTTTGCCACCTCTTTGTGTAAGGCTAGTACTCTTTTTAGCATTGATTCTCAGTGAAGTCAGCATACATCACAGAAATAAGCAAGGTCACCATATTCTGCTGCTGTATCTAGCAAAAACTGTTTAAACTGATGATGATTTAATCCACAAGATAGGATCAGATTCACAGCCTTCCAAACAATATCCATAACCTTCTTAAATTTCAAAGACTTTGCACCTAATGTCTCTTGATGGATAACGCAATTAATTTTAACATGTTTATGTGTGATTTTAAGGCTTTCTATATATTCTTGCAGTAGTGCATCAGAGCCTTTTTTTTTTGTCCTACCATTGTTGGGGTGCATTCAGTTTTGATGCCAATTAACTTCAAAAAATCAAACTTTATTTCTGATATCATTTTCAACAAATCTTCAAAGATGTCTGCTCCAGTTACGGTTTCCTTCATAGGAATTAACTGAATAAATTCTTTTAAATATCTGAAAAGTTGAAGTCACTCACCATACAAAGACAGCAAATTGGGCAGTGTCACTTAAGTCTATACTCTCATCGACTCCAATTGAAACGTATTGTAATTCACTGCAGGCATTGATTAATTGATTTTTAACACCTGCTGTCATTTCTTCAACCTGCTGTATGACCGTCCTTGGAGACAGGCTGATAGTTTCAAATAAAGACATTTTTTCTGGACAAACAATATCCAACACTGCCAGTAAGCATTCTTAAAAAAAAATTTGTAAAGGGTTTCAGCTTTTCAGCAATGGGTCTTGAGATTTCATAGCTAGCAATTTTGCCTTTTCTCTTTTTAAAAAATGACGTTTGTTTTTCAAAACTAGATCACTCAACTCCATCTTTCCTTGCTTGTCCAGTAAATTTCCTAAAATTTTCACAATGGCGTGTCTCATAATATCTTCTGATATTTGCTCCCTTATTCATGGCAATGCTTTCTAGACATATGAGACAAACCAGGTTTCTACTGTGTTCGATAAAGTAATCTAATGTCAAAGTATATTGGAAAATTTGACATTCAGCATCTACATTTCTTTGTTTTGTATTCATTGTCAACAATTTTTTTTTTTCCTACAAATAAAATTAAAATTTAAATTAAAAATAAAACTATTACAATTTTTTAAAACAAAGAGCCAAATTGCAAGAACACAGAGCCAAATTATACAAAGATTTTATTGGTGGTACAAAATTTTATGACCACCATGAAATACAAAATTTGTATTTATTACCACTCATGAAAATAATTAAAAGATAAAATTGAAAAATGAGCTAGCTAACCAGCTTTAAACCTCGCTCAGCAAAGCTAAATTGAGGTTAATAAAGATAGAATTATCAACAAAAACAGATGGATAATATGTATGGAAAAAAATACTTGAATGGAAATTAATTGTAGGCCTAGTACAAAATTCTTCTGTTTGCATAACGAATTTCTCATGGATAAAATGTATATGGCCTCCAATATTTTTAAGTGGAAATTTGAGTGGGACTTACTAAGAATGGAAAATGAGTCGGCACTGAAATTAGTGGCACAATTATGGTTATTTATTAAGTGATCTGTGATGGAAGACCTGGATGTGTTGGTCAGAATGTCTGATTTCAGATGAAATACATGGGGGTTAATTTTATAAATGTTTAAACAAATTAATCATTGTTTAAAAGGAATGATTTATTTTTTACTAATTTTACATGTGAATAATTTTTTTTTTTTAATGACAGGCCTTTTATTGTATTCAAAAGGCAAATTTCTCATATTACAATTGATATAATACCCGTTGGTTATGACTAATAACTTAGCTATAACTTGTATATGTTATTATTTTTGTGTTGTATGAGTGGAAATGATGTGCGGAGTCCTGTGTATACAATGCATTTTTAATCATGTTTGCTGTCGATGTTCACATCCAGTTGGTGGTGGACATTAGGTAGGTTGAATCAGAAGAAGATTTGTGGAAGTATGTAACAGCAGGCTTTTTATTGTATTCGAAATCTTTGTCCGTCATATTACAATAAATTTAAATTTTAAATAAACACCAAGGTTGAACAAAAACATTCATACTGAAATTCATGCACCTCAGCTGGTTGGAAAATCACAATTTTCTGTTTACTTGTAGGCACTGATACACAAGATTCAACTCGGTTTGAGTCAAGTCAAATTTTTAAATAAAAAATGATGCAAGTCAAGTTAATGTCAAGTCATGATTCAACTCAAGTTGACTCTCAAGCCAATTAATATAAAATTTATTTACAATATTTTAAGAATGGAAAGACAAAAATATTCATTGCAAAGCCAACCATATGATCAAATAATTTTGAATTGGACCTGAAATTGTTTCTTCTCTTATTCTCTTTGGTTTTATGTTATTCCTGTGTAGACTGAAGCACAAAATAGCCTGACAATATGTTTACAGTCAAGCTACTGGTCAGGGTTCAAAATTGAACATGGACTTTTCGAACAAGAATGGACCAAATTTTCAAGTAAATTTTGGTGTTGAACTGGACTGGTTCAGTCTAACTTCAACCTCTGGTCATGACCCACCTTGACTCATAAGTCTAATGAGTTGAGTCAACATAGTGAGTCTAATGAGTTGAGTCAACATAGTGAGTCTAATGAGTTGAGTCAACATAGTGAGTCTAATGAGTTGAGTCAACATAGTGAGTCTAATGAGTTGAGTCAACATAGTGAGTCTAATGAGTTGAGTCAACATAGTGAGTCTAATGAGTTGAGTCAACATAGTGAGTCTAATGAGTTGAGTCAACATAGTGAGTCTAATGAGTTGAGTCAACAATGTCTAATGAGTTGAGTCAGTTGAGTCAACATAGTGAGTCTAATGAGTTGAGTCAACATAGTGAGTCTAATGAGTTGAGTCAACATATTGGGTATCAGTTCTTGTGGGCCATTTAAAATCCCTTTGCAGGCTAGATCCAGCCCACAGGCCATAGGTTTCCAACCCCCTGATTTAAAGCCCTTCTCAAGCATGAAAGATTCAACTGGGTTTCTCATTCATTATTTACTTTGCAGCATAACATTCTTGATAGGGAAGGTGTTGTAATGTATGGCAAGAGTGTGTTGTGGTTGGGGGGAAACACTGGTTGCTCTCAAACCAACTCCAGGGGTAACAGTTAGTGGGGAGAAAGAGACGAGGTAACAAAAATGAACTGCTTCAGAAACAGAAGCAACTTTAGGAACAAAAATGCCCACATGACCAACTTCGCAAGACATCATGTCTTGCTAACTGATGGTTTTCCTGTTGATTTTATTGGCATGAGGCATCTTACAAAACTCGGATCCTAACCAGTTGCAGAGGCCCATATCTAGACTTGCTGTCCTGCTGCTAACCCAATGTAACTGGATAATATTCAAGCTTTTGTGTGATTATGACATTTTCCCAATGAGTCTACAGAGATTCTTTCTTGAGTCGGTAATCAGTCACACTAAATCTGTTCAAGTCAGTATTATGTAGACACTTAATCCCTGCTTTCCTGTGGACAAATGAGATTTGTCTGAGAGGCTGTTGGATTATTGCACTTGACTAAAACAGGCAGCATGATATTTGAAAGGCTTGCTCTCTTTCCCTTTTGATTTTGGAGCAACATTATTTGTTCTTTGGGGGTTTTTCTTTTTCTTGGAAAACATGTGGCATGTAAGAACTTCAAAGACATCAACTGAAGATGGTGTTGAATTATCAAGAACTTTGATGATGAAATTCATTTCTTTCTTTACTCTTACACTTATTAACTGGCCTTTGTTTAAATTCCATTTCTGGTTTCTTTTTTACCAAGGCTCACATGAATCTGAAAAATGATGTTTGTGGGACAAATTATGCCAGGGTAAAGGTTATGAATTTTGACTTCACTACTGAACTACACAAAATACACAAGTTAATGGAATGTTCTTATGCACATATTTCAACTTCATAAAGTAGTCATGTGTGTTGTGGTTTCATAGATAATGACTTGGAATGAGAGATCAGAGAGGTGAGTTCAATTACAGTCAGTTAATTACAATCACTTATACATAAATACCTGTTGGAAAGGTAAGAATCCATCTCAACTCCTCCCAGCTATGGGTTGAATAGCAGGACAAAATAGAATTTCAGAAAGAGAAATAGGAAATGTTTATAAAGGTAACAAGTTTCACTTTTATTAAAGATTCATCAGAGAATGAAATATGGAGGAGAAAAAGAAAGTAACATTTACATGCTATGGGATCACCTTTCAGTCCACTTTACCTAATTTTTATATGATTCAATTAGAAAGCAAATTTTTTTTTTTTCAAACCTATGACTCATGTTTGATATATTGATGAAAAACCTACACGAAACAAAAGAAAAACTGCAGAAGGAGCTTTTTATCTTGATATTTGATTGTCTTTGTTTTTTAAGGTCCAAGTCATCTCCTGAATTACTACCCCCACTGGCTAACAACAACCCTTTGATTTTAGGTACAACGGCTGTGCTAACCCAGCAACCAACTCTTCAGACAGGTAAGAATTAAGACAATTAAGAATAACACTGTATAGAATTTATTTTTTTTGCATGGATATGCAAGTTTATGATCATTATAATAACATTTACATACAAACATGTATAGCTATGGGATCACCTCTCAGTCCTACTTTATTGCATGGTTTACTTAGAAAGCAATTTTTTTTTTTTTTCAAATCTATGTATCTGTTTGATATATTGATGAAAAACCTACAGATAAGAATTTTGACAAGAGTAACACTGTATAGAATTTTAAAAATTTGTTTGCGTGGATGTGTAAGTTCTAAATTCTACTTGTTTCTAGACTCCCACCTTCAGCAGGTGTCTAAAAACTACACAATACTAAACCATATATATTTTAATGTCTTTTTCTTTCCTTCACTTTCCCATACATACATACATACCTAAGATAAAGTTTAATTTATAAATTAGGTACAATAAGAGATTAATAACAATGGCTAATCAGAAAGAAAGAACAATTATAATAATAGTATATAATAATATACGTATTAATTGCCTAGGATTTGTGTAGCTTTTGTATGTCTGAAAATAATTTACGAATGTCTTGTTAAATTAATTTTGATAACACTATACTTGTGTATAAGCCTACTTCATGTATATAGTGCATCCCCCCTTTTTTGTGAAAAACCTGATTTTTTTTTTTTTTCATATAGTTTGTCTATAATGCAACCCCAGCTACTATAGCCAAATATTGCAGTACTGGACATCATCCTTGCACATATAGTAAATAAATTATCATCATTCTTTTTTTTTTTTTTTTTTTTTTTTTTACATTGTATGATTTCTTTGAATAACAAATGTATTGACTAACCAGAACTAAGAATGTAAACTGTCATTTCCTATCTTCTAGATGAACCTAACAACAATTTAGATCATAACAACTCCAGAATATTAAAAAAAAAAAGTTAAGATCTGATGCCCATCCAGAGATTTAACGAATCATTCGATTACCAAGGGAATCCTCAGTTGCCCATTTCTGTAATTCTCAGGGATTCAAGAGCAAAACTATTATTTGTAAAAAAAAAATGACTCCCCAGAAGTTCTCATCATGCACAACCTCCCCTTGAAATTATTCATTTGGTTAAACTACAGAACCATTGAACAGAACAGAGTGTTTCCATGTTTAGTTGTTCTGAGGTTCTCACCAGTGAGGAGTTCAACTGATAGAGACAGTAACTGCAGTGAGTTTTAATCAGCTGCAGGTGAAATATTCACTTGGGACTCAACTACTGGCAGTGATGACACTTACTGTATATACTTGTGTATAAGCTGACTTCTAATTTTTCATATAATGTGATCACCAGTTTCTGAGCAATGCTACAAGGCTTATCATAGTCAAATATTACAGTCCTATATAAGCAAATATGGGTTTGTATGAGCCCGGATGAGTCCAGTGATTAAATATTTTTTCCTCTTCCCTTCCCACTTTTTCCCTCCCCACTTTTTTCCTTTCTCCTCCCCCTTACACCTTTCATTCTCTTTTCCTATGGTCATATAAATTGGTGGAATATACTAGATTGTTCATTCTTCTACTTGCCTGAGGAGACCTTGCATTTGAAACCTGTGTAGTAAGGTAGACTACATTTTAATGTTTTTATATATATATATATATATATATATATATCCTTTAACAACTCATATCCCCTGTATTTACATGAAAAGCTGCATATTATAAAGTTTCCTAAGAATAAAGTTCTCCTAAATCAGAGAAATGAATTGACAGTAATTTGTAGGCATTGTATAATGTTTACCCTAAAATATAGTTAAAAGAATTTTTCATAAAAAATCCACGCATTAAAATTATGTATCCATTATTGTATTAATATATAATGGTCCACATAATATTTAATTCCTTGATTTTTCAACTTTAATAATGCCATGATCTATTGCCCATCCAATGTACATATTGCATTTTAGTGTCAATACCAGCCACTTTAAGACTGTTCTGTAGTTTAAAGACATTTTATAAAAATCTTGAAATTTCTTATAAATAACCATTTGAAAAAACTTAAATCTGTGTTACACAAAGTATCTAAACTTTAGTAGCAACAGTAAATCAATGTCTAAAGTGTCAATTCAGGAAAGATTTTTCATTTTTTATTCTAGCTGTGTTGTAAAAGGAAGGAAGAACCTTTTCTTAAGGCTTTACTTTTAAAGAGTCAGTAATCAACAAATGGGAATTTAGAATGAAAAGAAGAACGTGGAGGAATGGGAACTTGTGGAAAAGACAAGAAAGTTTTTCCTTTTTTTTATTCTTTTTTTTTTTTTTTTTTTAACGAAAATATAACATTCTCCCCCACTTGCAAAAGAGATTGTAATTGAAAAAGTTTTATAAATCCAGTCATTGGATTGGTCTACGAATCCTGCTAGACCGGCGTGGAGGTAGTTCACCACTGGAAGAGCCAGAAGGCTGACTTTCAGGATTCTGGCTATTATTCACAGATTCATTTTCTGTATAAGGTGAAGAAATATTAATGGGAAAAAGGGTTGAATCTGCATGGTCCACGTCGGGTTGAGTATTTTCAGGTCTATTTTGAGGTCCATCCGGGCGTGGAAAACATGCCAACCGTCTCAGCGCCACCGAATCTTCCCGGCCATCATTGTGACGTATTTTGGCATGCGTAGGGTTGGCCTCAAGGAGTTCCACCACCTCAACGATAGGGTCATATTTACATCTGCCACCGAATCGTATTAATAATACCTCCCCAGGCTCACAGAGCCAAACAGGCAATGCAGTACCGGTGGGGGACCGCCTTTCAAAATTGAACATTCGTTCGTGGGGGGTTGCATTCGTAGTGGTACATAGCAGCGGATAGGATTTAACACATCATGTAGAACATCCTGCCAAGCACTAATTGGTAACTGTTTCGATTCCAGGGCCAATAATATGGTATTCCAAATTATGCCATTGTAACGTTTGCATTGGCTATTGCCTCTAGGGTTATAAGCAGTAGTATTACTGCATACAATTCCAAGTCGTGTTAGAAATTGTTTAAATTCTCCCGACATAAACGAAGTTCCTCGATCGGAGTGAATGAACGAGGGAAGCCTGAAAATGGAGAAAATACTTGTCAGGCACTGAATAGCAGTTTGCAAAGAGCATTTGTGGCAAGGAAAGGCAAAGGGAAATCGACTATATTCGTCGACGACACTAAATATGTATTGGTAACCTGTCGGGGATACCGGGACAGGCCTTTGTAGTCTATGGAAAGACGCTGAAATGGTGCAGTAGAACGGATCAGAACATTACTAGCAGAATCGAAGAATTGGGGTTTTATTTTGGCACAGGTCGTACATTCAGAAGTCACACGTCGGACTTCATCAAGCGAATACGGCATATTCTGAGACCTTATAAAATGCCAAAAGCGCTGTACCCCAGGATGTATTAAGGAATCATGTATCGATTTAAGTTCCTTCAAGGAAGAAGCAGCAGCACCACATACTCTGGATAAGGTATCTGCAACTGTGTTTTAATTTCCAGGATGGTGTTTTATGTCGTATGAAAAGGGAAGAAGTTCCATTTTCCACCGGATAATTTTATTGTTTTTAATTTTTCCACGATTAGCAGGTTTAAACATAAGATACAGCTTGTTGATCAGTAATAATAGTAAAATGTTTCCCGGCAAGGAGGTCTCTCCATTTACGAACGCATTTGACTATGGCATATGCTTCTTTTTCGACTATATGAAGTCGTATTTCAGAGGGGTTTAACGACCGAGAAAAGAATGCTACAGGTCGCTCAGCTTGTAAAAGTGTGCCTCCAATAGCCTTTTCTGAGGCATCGGTTTCAATAGTAAATGGCAATTCATCATCAATAACTTTTACAGTTGACTCGGCAATGTCTTTCTTAAGTTTTTCGAAAGAATTTATAACTATAGGAGGCATAGGGAATTGTTTAATTTCGACCAGTGGACGAATTTTGTGTGAATATTTAGGTATCCATTTCGCATAGTAAGCAAACATACCAAGACACCTTTTTAACGAATTTGAGTCGGAAGGAGGAGCATTTGCAAAAGTGGCTTCAAATGCTCAGGATCGGGTTGGATAGTTCCGTTACAAATTTGATATCCAAGCATGTTAATAGAACGAAGTGAAAACTCTGATTTTTCCCAGTTTATTTTGAGGTTGTATGTCGAGGCAGCCTTTAATAAACATTCCAAATTGACGTCGTGCTCCTCCTGGGTTTTACCGCAAACAGTTATATCATCTATATACGAAAAGGTTCCAGATAATTTATCAGAAATGAAAGAATTCATAAATCGCTGAAAGGCAGAAACCCCATTAGTAACACCCATGGGTATTTGTTTAAATTGGTACAGACGATTTCCAGCTTGAAAGGCCGTATAGGGGCGATCTTCGGGGCAAATTTCAATCTGATAGTATGCTTTGGACAAGTCAATTATACTATAGATACGATACTGGGCTATTTGGTTTACGAGATCTTCAATTCGAGGCAAGGGGTAGGCATCAAGTAAGGTGAACCGATTAATAGTCTGGGAGAAATCGACTACCAATCGTTTCTTTTTATTAGGTGACGGTTACAACAATTTGAGCACGCCACGGAGAGTAACTTGTTTCAATTATATCATCCTCAAGCAGTTGTAGAATTTCTTTTTCAATGAACCGAGCATCCTCCCATGGTAATTTCGGGATTTAGTAGCAATAGGTTTGCAGTCAGGGGTCAAGTTTCGGAACAACTTAACAGGAGCACAACTGATCTTGGTTAAAGCGCAGATTTTTAGAATATCCTGAGATCCACCAAAAGAAATAGTGATACTCTGGTGTAGTTTTAAGAAGGGCACTCCGAGTATAATATCCATACAGGAATCAGGAAGTACTGTAAAGTCAATTTGTTTATATTCGTAACCATTGAAGATAATGTCCTCAGTACAATATTCAGATAGTTTGAGGGAAATGGCAGATGATGCCATGGAAATTACGGATATCAGTTTAGAAGTAGACAGTTTCATTGTTTTAACAATACGGGCACTGATAAAGTTATCAGAACTACCGGTGTCTATGAGGGCAGTTAATCTCTTTCCTTTTAATTCTCAAGTTTTAGTAACTGGAGGAGACCAATCATCGTCTTTAGCACGGGCTACTATAATAGCTGAGGTAGAATATGAAGGTGCCGGCATGGTAAAACGGCAAACTTTAGAAAAATGACTGAGTTTGCCACAGTTTCGACATATCTTATCACGGGCAGGACAATAGCGATGATTATCCTTAAAGTGATGTTTCCCTCCACAGTTGTAGCACTTGCCACGAGCAAGGGCAGCAGACAATTGTACAGAGTCACACTCTGTACGAGAATCAGTTAAGTCAGAAAGCATATTTTTAGTAATAGTAGTAGAAGTGGCCTCCTCAGCAGAATCAGTAAACACATTTTTAGTCCTAGTGGTAGTAGCAGCGGCTGATCCAATCTGAGAAGCATATAATTCAGCACAAAAGTGAGCCTGTTCTAAGGCTCTAGCACATTGAGTAGCCTCCTTGAGAGTTAGCGTATCATTTTCAAGCAGTCTGGCACGTATTATGGGGGACCAGATACCGCGTATAAATGCATCATGGACAGATTCATCCCTGTAAGTAGTAGCAGTAACATCTTGGAAGCAACAGTCAGCAGCAAGTTGATTCAAAGCCTGAAGGTATTGGTCTACAGACTCATTTTCCTGCTGCAGACGTGTAGACAACAAATGTCTAGCATGAATAACACTTGGAGACTTTTCATAGACACTTTTCAGCAATTCAACAGCATGTTCAAATCCAGAACAACCCTCGATAACATCAGCAATGGTAGCACCGATGTTTAAATACAGGACTTCAAGTTTGTCCGGGTTTAAAGAAGCAATAGTTGATAAGTAATAATTAAAATTATGGTACCATAGTCTCCAGAGCTTGCTAGCCTGAGGGTCTTCAGAAGATATATCAAACTTGTCCAGACGAATAATCTTGTCCATGAGGAGTTAAGTTCAGTAAATTGTTACGTAGTACAGAGAAGAAAGCTAGGATAGAATAACCTTTTCTTAAGGCTTTACTGAACTTAATTCACAGCAGTCAGTAATCAACAAAGGAAAGAATTTAGAATGAAAAGGAAGAACGCAGCAGCTTTAAAGAGGAATGGGAACGTGTGAAAAGTCACGTGGACAAGAAAGCTAGTTTCCTTTTTTTATTCTTTCTTTCTTTCTTTCTTTCTTTTTCTTTTTCTTTTTTTTTTTTTTTTTTTTTTTTTTTTTTACGAAAATATAACAAGCTGTAATCTGTCTTCTGATTGGTTAATCAAGACATGCCCACAATTGTTATTTTTAATTTAGGAATTTTGATTCCCACCTCCTTTTTAACTCTCAAATATACTACCAAATTGTTTTCTAATTTCCCAAGTAAATTATTTTCATCATGTTATCTAATTTGCCTGATGAGGGACAATTTTAAAGTCCCACAACATAGAAATTTTTGTATAGCAATGTAAAATTAAAAAATATATATATATATATACTGCATATTTTTGTTTGTAATATCAGCAGTGCAAGGGGGATAGTTTTATCCTTCTCCTTACATTGCCAACATCAGCAGGCAGTATCTTTATGTCAATGGCATAATATTCAAATGGATAATGCAAAGTGTTGAGTAATTGACCATGATTAAGTGTAATTGACAAAATTCTCAATAACCAGTAAGAAGAGGAAGACAAAGAACAGGGCAAAAAACATTACTAAGTAAACAATATATATGCAAGTCAAAAGTAGACAAAGCAACAATAATAAAGCAAAAAGTTCACCAAGTAAATATGGTGTTCACACGCAAAAGTGATACAGTCTAGTAACGTACTGATTTCAAGACAAGAAAGAACAAAAAAATATGGCAGGCAAGACCAAGGATTGTCCATTTTCATTGCTTAGGGAGAAATCCCAGCATGCATCTGTAGAACTTGTCTATAAATTAGAGGAGAGGATATTCTGAACAGTCATTCCTAAGTTTCAGTAAAATTTGCAAGCAAGATAAAGGGTGGGTGAGATAACACAAGGTTAGAAATAGAAAAGAGGTAACATATTGCTTTTGAAATTTTGTTGGCCACGTTTTGCTGACTATGTACTGACTAGGGTTTTAAAATCATTCAGTGTGCCAACAACATATGTATTTTTATGCAAGTCAAGATCAATATACCTGTTCTACAATATATTTTATATAGTAATATATACAATATGTAAACCACATTAATAGAAATAAACTATTTTTAAAAGTTTTTTTTTTTTTTTTTTTTAAGTTTTTATTATTAATGGAAATCCAATGAATGAGCAGTTTTAAAACAGCTAAATATCTTCTTTGCATTATAGTAGTTATTGGTTCGGACTTTGTGATGTCATTTGCAGCTGTGTGCCATTGGAAATTGCTTGGTGTGCCACATGTGGCACACCTCTGTGATAGACCATTGATTGCTGTTATGAATTGTATCCTCACAGTGCTCTAGTCTTGTGCATGTTAAACTATTAGAGAGGTGGAAGTTATCGTGTCATTTTTTTTTAATTTTTTTTTTTTTTTTTTAATTGAAGACATTGAACACATTTTGTTTTACTTCTCCTTTGTCAGACTATGTTGAGCCTTGCCAAGTCACGCGACATGATTCCAGAGATAGTCTCTCGTCTGAACATAGCAGTAAGGAAGATACGGATGAAAGATGGTTGCCACAGGTAAAGGAAGAAATAAATGATAAATTTATTCTATTTGTTTCGGTGCTTGCACATGTCCTTGGGGTTTTGTTCTTTTCCTATATTTGACCTTTTTAACTACTTGGTCATAGATTTTATCAGTCAACAGGTTTTAAAAGAAAAATGCTGACATGATATAAAAATCTCAAATGTAAATTTTGACAGTTTTAACCCAGTAATATCATAAAATCTGTTATTAACTAGCTTAAAAGCCACCCTATCATGCAGCATTTAAACTAGCCCCTGCAGAGGGCTCTTGATTGGGCCTCCCTCACAATAGGTAGGGAGGAGTAGATGTGATAGGCAACAATATACTACAGAAGAACTCAAAATCAAGATCACCACATTTAATTATTGCATTAATACTTAAGCTTACTTTTTAAAAGTTCAACGATAATTCTTCTGCCACCACTTAATTTAAAAATAATTTAATGTACGTAGGTCCTTTCTTTCTGTACAAACAATTATTTTTATTTCATGGGTTACTTTCACTGGATTTGCTAATTAATTTTGATTATTCCTAAATTTATTTCCAAAGTATAAAAATTGTTACAAAAAAATTACTGAAAACAATCAAAGACTTGGGAATCAAAGACTTCAGGATTGTGGGTCTGGATCCAGCCCAGAATGTTTTTAATTTGCTCATGGAGTCAACCTGATTCTAAAATGGTATCATATATTGGGAATAAAGAATAATATATTGGAATAAAGTTGAAAAAGGCTGACACACTGATATTTGCATTTATTATATATATTATAAAAAATTAAAAACAAATTTGCTAATAATTATTGGTTTCTATCTACAACCAATTAATGCCAACTGTCCCAAAAATTGGACGATCGGCATTAGTGGGTTAAACTTTTATTTATTTTTTATTTTTTTTTTTTTATCCTTTTCTCAAGTAATTTTCCATTTTTAAAATTTTTTTTTTTTCATTTCATTAAAAAAAAATAAACTAAATATAATGTTTGTGTTATTTCTACTTTTAGGTGGAGATGTTAACCCATGCTGGCCCTCATCGTCGGTTGTGGATGGGCCCCCAGTTTTCTTTTAAGACCTACCAAAATAGCCAATGCACGACCGTGTTGTCTTCAAGTTCATCTGCTCTTCTATCGCAGAACCCAGAATCACCAATTTGCTCCTCGGAAATAAGTGGGGAAGACATCTATGATTTACAGAGCCTTGCGTAAGCCTAGGCACCCAGTGGGGCTTATTCACTTATAAGCTAGTTAAACTCCAAAAGACACTCATTTCAGCAGGAAAAATTTAGTAAATTATTGTGGTCCTCTCTGGAGCTTTGACTTCTTGTCAATTAATAAGAGGGATTATTCTATTTTTTAAAATTCTTTTTGGAAGAAAAGTGCACTGAGTGTCAACATGTCCAGTATTATGTTCTTTTTTTTAATTAGAGTGGCTTATGTAAGATCAATGTTATCACTAGTTTTGTTCTTGTGTATTATGAGTGAGTTTGAATGGTTCTCTAAATGTAAATCTCTTATATGTTCATAGATATGGGCTTTTAGGTTTTGTGATGTCTCTCTAAGTTCTTTTACATTGTAACAAATTTATTTGACAAGTATATTTGAATTGGTATTTATTGGATTTATTATTCTTCCTAATTATATCTCCAAATGTTTTGGATATCATGGTAAATTTTGTAGAAAGAGTGTCAGAAGGTAGGATTATGAATTTTGTGTTATTAGAAGTTCTAAATCACAAAGTATATAAACTCTGTCCTCCAAACAACAGATCCGTTATTTCTGTCTGAATTTATGGGATGAAAAATTATCATTATTTACATTTCGACTAACCTCCTCATCATAATTGTTATCACAAGATTTTGGCAGTTGCACCCTCCCTTCTTCTTCAGGTATCAGTTAGTTCGGGTAACCATCTGGGAATTTCAGGCTGAACTCTTTATTCAATCTTTCTTATTCTGGTCTAAGGATGATATCTTGTCATGTTTTTGTCAGTATTGCCCATTATTGCTCACCCTGTTTCCACTGAATTTGGGCCTGTACTACCCGTCCTGGGGATTGAACTCACATTTAATATACAACTAAATTCACAAACCAGCACCTTAATCCATTCAGATATTATTATGCTGGTGGGTTTTTTGTCTCTAGAACTTTCCTGTTTGTTATGAAGATTTCTACAATTTTTAAAGGCTTTCATTAATGAGGTTTATTTAGTTCCATGTCATGTAAGACCACAGGACAAAAATAAAAAAGCACCATCATTTGAGATTTAATAAATACTTGTCATCTATCATAGTAAAATTTACATCATAAGAAATAGCCGCCTCTTCTCATATAAATTCTGTCTGCTGAATGCGTTCATTTTATTGTGCAAAAGAAAACTCCTCTTTATTAAAAATACTTTTGAATTTGAAGCCAATTCTTTTGTTGAGAAAAATATTCCTGTTGAGGGGAATATAACAATATTTACTTATTATTCAATGAAACATCATATTAAGATACTCATCTTTGTTGTTTTTTTTTTTTCATGATGTTTCAGCTAATGCACTTTTGACTTTCTTCAGGTGTATGTTGTACATTGTAACAATTGGGGCATTTTGAAAAGGTTCTTTTATTTTCTCTACAGTCAGGGATGGTAAAATCCCAGATATTTAGACAAGCAATATTTTAGGCCCCGAAATTCTTTATTTTCAAATTTCAGTTTGATTTTTCTTCTGCTTACTGAATAAAATCTTGTTTTAATGTAAATTCTATTATTTTAATGAATGCTTCCTAAAATGTATGAATTTTCTTGAAATTCTTATAAAAATTTTATTTTATTTGTGTTTTTATTTCAACACACATTGTTAATTAAAAAAAAGCAGGAAAACTTTGTAATTATCAGTTTTCATCCCTATTTTATTGACTCCATGTTAAGAATATAATTTCTCTTAAAAACTGGCTACAAGAGTTCGACAGAATTGTTCAAGCAGAAGTCCTATAATCTTTATAGAAGTAGCTGTAGTCTTACAAAAGTCATCTTGTGAAGAGCCTAATATTTTTATTAGCAACAGTCATATCCTTATAGAAGCCATCTTATTTGAGTTCAGCCATTTGCATAGAGTGAATGATGTTTTGTTCAACAAAAACATTACACCAGGATCTCAAATTCAAAGCAGTCACGCTGTTTAATATCCTCTTTCTGAAAATCTTATTCATCAAAAATATATTGAAGTTTTTGTTCTCACTCTAAAAAAATTTACATTCCTTAACAAGTTTCTAAATTTCTTATCATCCCTATCCAGAATTCTTTCATTTCCAATCAAACCAGAATTAGTTCATGTTGTCTATGTATAATGAAGTTTTATTTCCTTTAACTTACAGCTTTTTCTTTCAGAATCCAACCTGCCCGATCCAGTCCCATGGCAATGCCTAACACCAGACCTGCATACAGAAGATCTTCTGCTTCTGAGGGTAGCTTGTCTACTGCTCGAGGCACAACCTGTTCCCCTTTGCTCATCGAAGTAGGTAAGGAATAAAACCTTAGATTTGTCTCTTCTTTTCAGGAATTATTTGAACTAATATCCTCGTCTTTTATTTTTTAATTTTGTACATAAGACTTTGGTTTGCACATTTTCTAGTTTTCTTCATGTAGATGTTGCATCAATCATTATTTAAGAACCTTTGAACATTATCCCTCTTTTTGAACAGTTCTACATTGTACAGTGACTTCAAACCTCACTGAGCGTTCTTCTGCTGTAGTACTGTTTCTGTGAGTGGGTCAATTTCACACACAAAAAAGCAGGTTCACCATCAAGGAAAAAAAAGTTACTCAGTCCAATGTCATAAATTGTGGAATGCACAAAATTCACTGTAGATCAGTCATGTCCAAAAGTTGGCATTAAAAAACTGTTTCTCTTCAAGTGGGAGTCCTTAAATACATGTTGAACTCCTGAACATTCATCAGCTGATGGCATTATAAAGCTCACCCACATGCATGCACACTTCTTGCATTGCAAATGGCCATCTACATGAAAAGCATATGAAGCATTGTGCTTATTTAGCTTGAGATAATTCATCACACACTTTGTATCAATAATTCTCTTTCTCCAGTTTTTACTATCATTCCATTGAGAATGCCTCGAAGACAAAGTGACAAAGATTTCTCTTGCAATGAAAATATTTTGTGAATTCTACAGATTTGCTGATAATAACAGAGGGGATTAAAATAACAAAGATGAGGATACTAGTATTTATAATAAATTCAGGCACTCCTTTACTAACAGATATTCAAATTATTCAGAAATATGAACAAATTTCAAAAGTTAATCCACTACACTATAATTTCAATGTTCCTATGGATGCCTATGACTCTGCTCAAATTACTGAATTAGTAGGCATCTATATTTTAAACACCCTTAGTAGGATTATTGACCCTAAACAGGTTGGTATTTATAGAGATGATGGATTTACTTTTATCCCTAATAGTAATGGTCCACTATCTTCTAATCTACAAAAGAAAATTCTCAGAGCTTTCAAATTCCTTTGAAATTTCATCCAACCTTAAAATAGTTCATTTCTTAGATATAACTTTCAACCTTTTGAACAACACATTTAAACTATATCACAAAGATAATGAAACTCCAATCTATATTGATGTTAACTCAAATCATCCTAATCTAGTAATTAGACAAATTCCTACCATTGTCAATAAAAAATCTTATGATGCACTCAAAAAAAATGGCTTTAAACAAAGATTATTTTACCTGGAATCTTTAAAAGATACTAAAATAAATAGAACCCAACATAGAAAAAGAAGTTGTATGGTTTAACTCTCCTTTCTGCCAATTATCTAATATAAATATTGGTCAATATTTTCTGAAATTGATTGACAAACATTTTAACTGAAATAAGCCTCTAAGTAAAATTTTTAATAGAAAAACCTTAAAAATTAGCTACTTCTTGCACAAATAACATCCATAATATTATTAATTCATATCTAATATTGTACCAGGTGCAAATCCGCGACAACTGACAAACTTCCTGAACAAACACACTATTCACTTGGTGCGCCTGGTGTAAAACTGCAACGACTGATAAACTCCCGCAATTTACTCAATAATTTCTTCCTGCGCCTCTGCTTTCTCCTTTACATGATTCTTCTTCAATGTTGCAGAAGATTCTTTTCTGAGTGACAAGTGTTTCTGCATTTTTATGTCCTTTTCTGCCCTCCTTCATTTGCATGCGTGAATTCACTTTCTGTGGTTTTACGCGACCGCCCGTGTGAGGATACGTGACCATTCACAATATAAACTTGCCGGGGGCAGCCATGTTTTTTCCAGTCAAAAAAAAAAATAAACCTTACACGCAGAACATATACGCTGCCGTTTTTTGATCAGGTGGGTGATTATTTTTGTTCCAATTTTCACTAAAAATATATATATATATATATATATATATATATATATATATATATATATATATATATATTAAAAAGAAGAGAGAAACCACAAACGTTTTTGGTTGTAATGTGGATTTTTTTTTAAAATGTTTTATTTTCCATAATTTTGCTATACGAGTTTCCGGTCTCGCAACCATCATCAGGCAAAAGGTGGAGATTTCCACATATTATTAAAAATAATTTATTTTTTCTTTGTTTTTCGATGTTAAATATTCTCAATATGAGACATTCTCTTTTTTTTTTTTTTTTTTGTTAGTGATCCAAACGCCTTTCTTGAACTGGCAGTGAAAAGTTCTGCATGAAGGGTTATAAAACAATTAAGATTGGTTCGAGAAATGATGGAGTAGTTATTGACATGCTTATCTTTTAATGAAAAAATCAACAAAATATTATCTAGGTCTAATGTTGATGTTTTAATTCTCATTACACACCAGATGTTTAATTTTTTTTAATGTATTTGTGTGAATATAGTCTAGCCAATTTCATGTTGAGTTAAATTGAGGTTACTGAGACATCTGGAAGAGGCATGGCATGTCGAACAAAAATAAAGGGTTCAGTTTGATATTCCAATCACCTGAAAAGGCCGGAACATACAATGGCCAAAATATCATGAATATGGCAACAAAGATGTAGACAACAGTCTGAACAATATATATATTTATAATACCTCATCTCAGAAATATAGACTTATATATGTATGTATGAGTAAAAGTTTGTCACTTTGCTGATTGATGTTACTTTCAGCATCCCAACTCCAGAGTTTTGTAGGCGAACCTGTCTGTCCACTCTTCAGGGGATATCAGCAATTTACTGCTTTTTCCTTTTATGCATATGTAACAATGGTTTTCTTCTGTATTTTCTGTGTTTGTATGTTTTCATGCAAATAAATGATGTGAAGATCAAGTTGCAATTAGACACGGGATCGGATATTATTATTAACATGTAGACTTGGAAGAAAATGGGTGAACCCAGGTTATTAACTTCTGAGAAAATTGCTTGTGGAGTCCCAGGGAAAAGATTAAGCTTTTTGCACAAATTCAGCTGTAGCGTTTTGTTTGTTGGAAAAACCAGAAAAAACAGTAGTATTTGTGTTGAAAAACACATCTAATCTGTTTGGTACAGATTGGATAGCATTGTTTGATCTATGGGACGTACCTATTAACTAGTTTTGTTATAAATATTGTGGCCAGTTCTAATAGAGCAAATGAAAAACTAAAAAATGAACTGAAAAAGACTTTTTCAGGAGTTTTTTTTTTCTTTCTGAAGGTCTTGGTACATGCATGAAAGTAAAAGCCAAGTTTCAGTTGAAAAATAATGTAATGCCTACATTTAAACCAAAAAGAAGTGTACCTTTTGCAGCTGTAGATACAATCAACAATGAATTGGACATGTTGGAGAAATTGGAAGTAATCTCACAAATAGACTATTCCATATGGGCAGCACTGACTGTCTATGTTAAGAAGCGGAATAACAAAATACAAATGTGTGCTGACTTTTCGACAGGACTAGCAGAATGTTTTGTTGATACATTTAAGATGGCTTTAAGGAAATCAGAGGGAGAGGAGTCGGACAAGATTATGATTCAACAGTTTCTAACCATCAAACCAAAGCTAAAAAAAGTATAGACCTCAAGGGCAGTCATTTCAAAGAGGAGGTGTTGTATAAGAGTAAGTGTTGTTGCCGACACTGTGGTTTGAAACTAGATTGCCAGTGAGTAACACAGGTGATTCCATTATTTATTTTATTTGTGTTCTCATTGATACACAAAGAAAAAAACTCTTGTATATTCACTTTTTAATTTTCAAAAAAGAATGTGGGGTCACTTTTGCACATGCCCTAACATAAAAATATGAAGCAGGTGCAGAAACATTCTTGGCTGGACCCACTTCCCAAAATCTGACCAAACATCAGATTTTTCTATTATTTTTTTTAATCCCTTTTTGGTCATGATGAGAACTTTTCACTTCATGTGTATGTGCACACACAATGCCATAGCTGTTTATCTATTCTTTGATATAAAAGGGAAAATTTGTTAGATGTAAAGTTTTCACTTTTTCTTAATCGCTGCCCACTGGCCTTACCATTACTCCATTCTATTTTCTTCACTCACAAGCTTACCCACTGATTTTTTGTATGTTGTGCATCAAAAATTGTGAAAGAAAGGGATTGTCAGTGGTCAGGAATTAATGCAAGCCTTACTAATAGAATAGGGCTATTATATAAGGTGTGTGTAACTTATAGATTTATTTCTTTCCTCTTATTTTTTTTTCTGTTGACCTTTGCACTTGTTAATTTCTCTGATCAAAGTCCTAACTTTGTTTTGTTTCTCTTTTTTTTTATTATTGTGCAGGTAGCTTTGAGCAGTCCCCCAACCTGAGTGATGTTTATGGCTATTGGACAGAATCCGAGCTGTCCCGTTTGCCTCGAGGGAACACTGAAAATAATGAAGAGGAGGACAGTCGTCTGCGGGAACATATTGCTGATGCCATGTTAGAGTCACCACACAGAGATGGTGGTGGACCCACCAGTCTTAGAGGTAAGCCAGCCTCCATTACTTTTGTGATTATTGCCTTTTTTTTTTTTTTTTTTTTTTTTTTTTTTTTTTTTTTTTTTTTTTTTTTTTTTTTAAAATCAATTCGTTTTGGGGATAATTTCTCTTCTCATTCAGAATCTTCAGAATTAACGAAATCTTTTTAAATTGAGAAAATCAGTATCTATGTATTTTTTATTGTGGTTTTTTTTTTTTTTTAATATTTCCTTTTTACTTTTTCTTAAATAATAATGTGACTATTCATTGGCATCTGGGGTGGTAGCACCTGTTTAGGTCCCAGCTATGGGCAAATAGCCCCAAGCAAAAAACAAATCACTATGAAAGTATAGAAATACATTTTTATATTAAAAAAATGCCCACAATACCTATTTATAGTAAAATTACCCACAAGACATTTATAGATATAAATTTAAAGGAAAATGACCAACAATACCTTTTATCTGTAGTTGAAGGCATAAAATTGTGTTCAAAATATTTAGATTTTGATATTAAATAGCCAACAGAGGTTGATATGCCGCTAAACAAAATCAACCAACCTTGGCATCTTTAGCCTATTTTTCTATTGACTGACATACAAAACTTACAGATCTTATATCAAATTCTTTTGCATCAACAATTCATATGGTCTCCTCTTGATTGTTATTATTATTTATTATTACTTAATCTTTGTTTTTATCACCATGTTTTGGGCAATAACAAAAATGTATGGTGATCCTTACAGTTTTGCTTTCCAATAGTCAAACCTCAGATCGTTCATTAGTTTTAGTTCTTAAAATGCAAAGATGGTAATGCTGGCAATTTGGAAATATCAAAGAAAAGAGTTTCTTTTAAGTGACACAAGGAACGTTCTCTGGAAAGAAAAAAAAATCATATAGGATACTAAAATCTGCATTAAAAATGAATCTTCTTTCTATCACATAACTTTTATTACAGTCAAATTGTTATAATTGTTTTATTATTAGCTATTTATTACTAATCAGTGGGTGAGCAGTCTGGTTAAAATCTCTGGTCGGTATCATAACAATACAAAGATTCACCTAGTTGGGTTGTTAGCCTGACACAGGTTAGCCAGGTGGTGAAGCTGCCATGTTGGTAGCTAACCATGTGGTATCCTGGCCCAGTGACATGGAAGGGGTGGCACTAAGTTGGGCTGATGATTGCTCTTCACTAGCTGGGGAACCCCTGACTGGCTACTCATATGTAGTTTAGCTGGCAGGTTAATGCCATTGCCCAGAGTTTGGCTGCTGTCATGCTGGACAGCTTTAAGGAGTCGTACAATAGAACTAGATGAGGCAGGTGGGCCAGTGCAGCTAAGCCACACAAGCAAGTTGTGAGTGTGACCACCTCACTGTGCAAGGGTACTACCATGCTACACCAGCCCATACAGCCTCAATTCACTCCTCATCATCATTGGCAGTGACTCCATCAAGTTTGTCAAATCTTTCATATACCTAAACTCATGTTTCCAACACCGGTGACCTTCACATGGAGATCAACAGATGTGGGCTGGCCATAGATTTCATGAGCTGTCTCTGGAGACCATTATGGCAGCATCATGATATCACCAAATGCACCAAGCTGCAAGTTTACAATGCCATTGAACTCTCTGTGCTATTATATGGCACCAAGACATCTTGTCCCTTAGGAAGACTTCCATCCTGGGTATGATGATAAACTACATCCGCGTCCTGGGTAAGACAATAAACTATGTGCAACAGCAAGGCGTCTGATTAGTAGGTTTTAAGGAGCATGGAACCACCTCTTAATTGCTGATGTTCCCAGGTCCACCCTGACCTGGGGTGGTAGCACCTTTTATGGTCCCAGCTATGGGCAAATAGTCAACACCCAAACTTGTGTAAAAATAGGTTTTAATACCAGAAATACTTTGTAATTAAAAAAATTATTATCAGCAATAATTTTTGAAGGAAAAATCTACTCAAAAATATGAGTGATTGAAAAACGCTTCAAATATACACAGTTCAAATATACACAGTTTTTTTTTCCATCTTGGACCCTTTCTTTCTTTTCTCAACCCACAGGCCAGACAGACGTGAGGGCATTTGGGAGGTAGGCCATTTCTGTTCTCCCCACACTCCCCACTGATCTCATGATCACAGAGTTGGCAGGGAGGAGGCGATCGCTTTCGGCAGGTGCTTGTTCGAAGAGGGACGCTGCCAGCCTCATCATCGCTTGTGCTCCCGTCCGCGGTCTGATGGTCGAAAAACATTGTGTCCCTTGGAAGGCTACTGATATCTGAGTCACTGCCTGATGGAGCTGGCGTGAACCAGAGCGATACCTCACTGGTCTCAGATTCCGATTCACTCTCGTCGTCCAGCGGTGGTTCCAACTGCGTCACCGGACGCAGATCCTTAACGTGACGAGGCACACCGTCGACCCGCACCACCTGCGGGCTGATCACCTCAGTGACACGTCCAGTTCCGTATTTCGTCGTACACCTGCTGCGCGGGTCCTTAATCCAGACATTTCCTTTCTTCAGCCTCTCTCTGGTTACTTTCAGTTCGGGCAGTGGGTTGGTCTCTATGCCCTTCACTCTGATGTGGTACCTATGCAATGTGTCGGCTGGCGCTGTAGAGGGTGAGACATCATCCCTCGGTGTCATGTTGTACAACTAGACTGCCTCAGACAACGCGCAGCCCATCCTGGCTGCGATGGTCTTGACTGTCATGTGGTTCCGTTCGATGATCCCATTTCCACTTGGTACGTGGGTGCACCGGAACCATAGGTGCACTCCCCAGCCATCCGCAAACTTCTCGAGCTGCTCACTGGTGAATGCGGTGCCATTGTCGGTTAATATCTCCGTTGGGGAGCCATGTTCAAGGAAGATACTGTTTAACTGACGGATGATGGTGGCTGCATCTTGTCGATGCAGCAGCCACCATATCACAAACCTGGATGGACCGCAATCAATGAGTGTCAGGAAATCCTCGCCGTTGTGGTGAGTAACATCTATCGCCAGCCGGCTCCAGTGGCTCCTCACGCTCAGCTGCCCTTTCTTCCAGCGAACGGGTGCTGGGTCTATAGACTGGCATGCCACGCAGCTTCTGACCACTCTCCTGACGTCTGTCTTTTGTACTCCTGGGTCAACAAACAAATACAGGGTCCGCTTGACTCCAGGATGCCCGCTTTGTTGGTGGACTTCTTTCATTCGATTAGATCGAACGGGACTCACGGACGCAGCGCAGGCGGGTTGCACAGGCTCAATAGCTTTCTTAGTGGCGTCAAGCCACCTTTGGAGCACTCTCGTTAAACAATCTGCCTTGTTGAGGCTAGATTTGACCAGGGACACCTCCAGTGTCAGTGCATAGTCTTGCACCAGCTTCATGATCATGTCGAGCCGTCGTCGGATAAGCATCTCGCTGGTGGCTTTAGTCCACACCCTGGCCCTCCCGGTAAGGGTATCTGAGATCCACTTATAGACGCAAGCGGAATCCGTGAACAGACGCAAGGTGGTCGACTTCCAAAGGATCGCCAAGTTGATCCCCTTGATGACAGCATCGAGCTCCGCTAGGTTTATGTGCTGGAAGTCCTTTTCTGGACATAACCAGCAAGCATCTTCCACCACGGCACCATCGTGAACTATCGATACAGCAGTTGCAAGAGAGCTTGCATCAACCCACACACCGAGGTCTTTGCTGTCGACGCACCATCTGACCCGAGCTGGGTCTTCCTTGCGTACTCTGGTGAGGATCTCCCTCATCATGGTGTTGAGAGGGGCGTCGTGAACTTCGTCATCCCATCCAGTGGTGGCATCAGATGCTCTCCGCTTGATGAAAGCCACTGCAACGCGCAGCCAGCCACCTACAGGAAGGTGTCCAACTAACTTGCCGCACAAGGAAAAATATGCTTCGCCACGTGACAACGGGGGGGGGCATGTCTGGGACTTCGTTTCCCTGTTCCCAATACAGAACATCGTCCTCTCCCCAGACCTGCAAACCAAGCACCCTTGCACCATCCTGTAGCCTCTCCAGTTCCTTGCTGAGGAGGCCAAAGTTGTAGAGATGCTCCTTCACACGCGCGGCAGATATGACTCCCTCGTTCACATACACGTCATCAATATATGCAGATGTTGCTCACTGTATGCACTCATCCTTCGTCAGAATGGTGTCAACAATCATCTGCATAATCGATGGCGCCACATTGAGTCTAAACCCCATGTTGGTCAGGCAATACCTTTGCCCCTTGATAAGCACAGTTTGATAGGGCCACAGTGATCGGTGCACATGCACTTGAAGGTATGCCTTGCAAAGATCCAGCACAGATACATTTGATCCCGTCTGTCGCCATTCCCATAGCTTCTTGGTACACACGTCCGCGCGGACTGTGAAAGGGTCCACGTGCTTGTTCAGTTTCCGATAGTCGAGCACCGGCCTCACCTTTTGTTTGTTGTGCTGGATAACCGCCATTAGCGGGATCAGGCCCTTCTGGGGCCTCGATTCCTTCTCTGGATAAGGAACCAACCATCCATTATCAATCTATGCTCGCAACTTCTTGTATTTCGCACGAGCTTGCAGGGGGATTTTATACTCTGGCACACTGTTGTACAGCTTCTCTGGCGGTTGATCGTCCGACCATTTCCAGGATACCGTCCAGGACTTTGTGCGCTGGTCGAACTCCGCACGAAAGTCAGGCCGTTCCAGCTCCATTGCTGCACCTAGAGCAAGACCAGTTTCAGTGAAACGCGCCCGACCCTCTTCGTCAACATGGACGCCACCCAATTTTTTGAAGACGTCCATTCCCAGGAGCCGATCATAGCCGAGCAGCCCTCCGTCCACAACCAGGGCTTGCACAGCTACTGCAGGCCCATTGCCGATGCTTGCGTGGATGACGCTCACTCCACAAGAGGCTAGCGAGCCCCGTCAGAACTGGAATCTTTTTCTCGCCCCACGTGTCACAACATGCCTTGCACACAAGGGTCTGGGTGCACCGGTGTCTACTAAGCGCCAAAGCGCACGCCCCGTTAATCCCGCACGCTCACTGCGGGTGGCGCCTTCTTCAGCGGCAATCTGGGAGAAGGCTGGCGCTGTAGCTTACTCCCCTTGCCTGTTTCCCAGACAGCTTCTTGCTACGTAGCCCAGCTTTTTGCACCTGTAGCAATGCATACGTCTCCGTGTTCCTTGGTTATGCGTATCCTTCGCACCGCTTCAGCTGTCTTTGGAGAAGTGGTTCAGTCCGCCACATTTATAGCACCTTATGTCCTCAGTTGGCGGTGCGGGTGTTTCCGCAGCTGCTGAGACCGGCTCTGCGTCGTCCTTCAGAATATTCCGGGCTCTGGCCAGTAACTCATCTAGCCCCAGCTCATTAAGCCTTGACAATGCTTCTAGCAGTCGACTGGCGTTGTCTGGGAGTCCTGCCAGAAAGGTGCATCCTAGGATTTGGTCGCTTGCTCCACCGAACTGTGCGGCCAGCTTCCTGAAATCGGCCAGAAAGACATCTACCGTTTCATCTGGCCCAAGCCGTGTTCGGTGAAATGCCTTCAGGCGACAAAGGGGTTCACACCGAATGCCGCGTATAGAGCCTGCTTAATTTCTTCCAAGTCTGCGTCATCCCTGAGCTGCTGATATACAGCGTAATCTCCTTTGGTGAGCCTCAAAGGGATGACCTGCGTGGGATCCTTGACTTTACACAGCCGGCAGACCCGCTCGGCCTTTTCCCACCACTCGACCACAGACGGGCCAGCGGGGGAGCCGTCGAACTCTGGTATCAACTTCAAGTTGAATCTGTCCATGTTGTAATAATGGCCGAAATAGCTTGTAGCAAAGGAGTCAAATTCAATATGGAGTGTAAGGGACGCAACTCTTTCCGTAAGAAAATGTCTGACACAACGCAAAGCAATGTATACCGAACATGGGTTTGATCGCTCCTGCCAATTTCTCCAAGTGACCTGCTTTTATTGAGCCCAGACACACCTCATTAGCATGCATATAACGCGACCTTGCGAGACTGCACGAGACCGTGAATATTCAAAAGTCACGGATGCCATCTTGAACCCGTTCTTTCTTTTCTCAACCCACAGGCCAGACAGACGCAAGGGTGTTTGGGAGGTAAGCCATTTCTATTTTCCCCACATTATCGCTATGAATCTATTTCAAAATTTTGTTGGCATTAAATGACCCACTGGGGTTGATATGCCATGAAACAATCAACCAACCAACTTAGGAAGACTCATTCATGGCTTTGAGTCCTGCAACCTTAGGACCGTCATGGTGGTGGTGGTGGGAGATGCACTGATCTAATCTTGTGTTCAATGAGGAGCTCTGCCAAAGGACTGGCCAGCTGAGTGTCCCCCCAGACCATTGCTTAACACTGTGTTTGCTGGCTCAGTCACATCCTGCGACAAGCTGATTACCACCCCGCCAGAATCTTCAACCAGTTTGAAATGCCATCTGCATAGTGGAGGTGACCTCATGGCAGACCAATCATACTCTGTAGAATGTTCTGATGCTCTGCCCAGACAGTGTGAGCTGGAAGGACGATGGTTCTCGTCGGCTCAACACCTTCATGGCACCAGATTTAGCAGCAGTATTATTACCAATCTCTTATTGTGCTTAATTTATAAATTAAACTTTATTATAGGTATGTATGTAGAAAGAAACACACAAACACACACGCACACATTATTTATGGCTGTTTGTCATTTCAGGCATCTGCTGCGTGTCTTGGGATCTTTTCCTCATTAAAAAAAGGAGACATTTCGACTTTCTCATGCTCAATTTCATAAATTTGTTAATAGTTGTTTTAAAGAGAAAAAGAAAAAAAGCACTAAATGACTATAAAAGGCTACCATAAGCTGCATTCATTTGTGGTGCATTTCTGAAATATATATATCATTAAAAAAACTAATAAAATAACAAAGAGGGAAATAAATTGTCAATATGTGTGCAATATCATCTTAATTGCTGCCTTAATTTTGGGGATGAGGAATTAACATTATTTACATTTGGATAAATAGCCACATCTTTGTTGTTAATATCAACAATGTTTCAGCAGTTGTGCTCTCTGGCCTTCTTCAGCTGTCTCTCGGTCTGGGTAATGTTCAGGAAATTTCAAACTGAACCCTTTATTTTAGCTATGGGGGTATATTGTTCTGATTCTGCTCAGGGGGCACATTTCTAAAGGACACTTGCAAGGATACAAATGAGTCCACATGCTTTGTGGGGATCAAGTTTGGAATAATGGAAACCATGGACAGAGTTCTATGCATATGACATAGTAGAGAGTTCTAATGGGTTAAAAGTAGAAATGGAAGAGAATTTACAAGCAAAGCATTCTACTTTATTAGCAGAAGTTAAAACTTCAAACTGATTGAAGAAAGAAAGGATTGAGGATCTAACCTTATTTCACACCCAGAGCTGCCAGTGGCCACAAGAAGCAAACTCATGAGAAGCTATACAGTGCCTCACTTTATCAATAAAGAAAAATTGAGCCTCATTGAAGTCCCATTTGCATTTATTATGAGTGGACACCAAGAGGTTGTTGATCAGAACTATGGTATAGCCAGATAAAGTGATTCCGTGGGCTATAGCAGCTGAAAAGGCAGGTGTGAACCAAAGAGAAGATTGTAGTTTTATTTGGTATTTACAAGATGGCACAAAAGCTGAGTTGCCAGCTTTCACACAAGAATCATTTAGTTTTTTCAATTGTCTTGGTCATAATTAGAAAACAAACATTGTTTGGATTGTAGACAAGAGCTCAACGGTTACATCCTGACATTTAAAATGTACATAAAATAATAGGTATGAAATATTGTTGAACTCATTTCAGGTGTTTTCAAGCCTTTTGAAACTGTTCTACACATCACAACATTTATATGACATAAATTTTGAAATATAACAAAATGCATTGAATTTTATCCCAATAAATTAGTACAAACAGGTTTAGTGGCTAAAAGTGAAACCAATTGTGCAATGACTAATCATTGATACATTGGCTCAAGCATTGTCCCTTGTCTGTAAAATAACTTGTAGCATAATATTTAGTGATTCAAAATACTTTTGCGTCTCTACAAAGATGGATTGAGATGCTGATCAAATTTTTTCAGATATGGATAATGCTTTCCCAACTTTGTTGTCATTGTCTAAAACAAGGATCTCCCTTCTGGCAGGATTATCATACCAAAAACAATTATGCAACTTAAGTAGAAAAAGGCTGTTTATATGAGAAACATTTTACGACCATTTGCTGTTCTTTACTATTGATTTGTTTTATTAACTGAGGTATTTGAAATAATGAAATTTACCCCAAATATCCAATGATAGGGCATTGGCAAATGGAGTCAGGCCTCAGGATTCAACAGGTTAAACAATACAGTATAATCATCTATATAATAAATGTGAATGTCAGTGTGTCACCCTTTTCCAATTAAAGGGACACAACTATCTAACTTTCAATAGCTCATGTTACAGAAATTTTTGGATGCCCAAGTTTTCATTACTGTGATTATTTTTGTCAATTTTTTTGTCTTTTTTTAACATGATTTTTTTTGAACGATAACAATTTTTATACCTTTAATTTAGCAATAATTGAAATTAATTGTGAAATCCAGCAAAAGTTGCCCATGAAATGAAAATAATTGTTTGTACAGAAACTAAAGACCTATGCACATCAAATTACCTTTAAATTAAGTGGTGCCAGAAGAATTATCGTTGAACTTTTAAAAGGTAAGCTTAAATATTAATGCAATACTTAAATGCAGCGATCAATTTTAACTTCTTCTGTAGTTTATTGTTGCCTATTGCATATGGCAGCAGTATGATTCACAAAAAGAAATCTTTGTCAACAGAGGACCAGATTGTAATCAAAAGAGCCAAAGTGAGGAAAAGTCAGTCCCATGGAAATGAAAACCCAGATCAAATGGCAGCCAGGAGAGCTTCCAGTGCTGAGAATGGGACTCTCAAACTTCTGAACACACCAAAGGCCCAATCAAGAGCCTCCACTAATGAATAAAGTCACCTAATTGAATTTGGTCACTCAAGGGAGATACTGTTCTTGTTTGTAATTCATTATAATTTTTTTCTTTTGTCTTTTTTGCAGACAGTGATGTCTTTGATACTGATGTGGAAGACATGACAGCTACAACTGCAGGCATAGAGACCAAATCTTCATCCATGACTGATCGTGACATGGACGGGCTTTGTTTGGCAGAACCAATATGATCTAAAAAGCCCAATTATTCCCTCTCTCCTCACGTCAAATGTTGTTAATGCTCATTTACCAACCCTTTTGGCATTCCAGATTTTTATGACTGCAAAAAGATTCCCCATTTAAAAAAAAAAAAACCTCCCCCACCTCAACACTCAAAATTACTTAGGGTGAAGGTGACCAAAAATATCACTGTACAAATGTGGAAAAAAAAAAAATTATTTCTTTCCAAAAAAAAATCACATGAAAAAAACCTACTGCTGGTTGGTTAAATTTTAATTTTTATTCTTTTTTTTCTTTTTAGTAAAAGAAAATTAAAATGATTTGCCTTCACTTATAACTTGTTTTGTTGACACCAGCAAAAAGAGAAAAAATTACATTAAATCTGTTGAAAAATGTTTGTCTTCAATAAAAAAAAAAATTGTTACATCCAAATGTTTTGTGGTCTTATTAATTTGCATATTTGGCAATTGAGTAGTGGCCTTATGCCAGACTAAGGATGTATCTGAAACTAACAAATCTTTCCACAGATATTAAATTGTTCAGAGATTTGTGTTTTTCACAAGTTGAGGATAACTTGTGTGTAGACTGTCACAAAATATCCTTTTCAAGAAACTTATTCTTTTTGAATCCACGGATTTGAGGCCCCATACCATTTCAATGATCATTTCTGAATATTCCGCCACTTGATTTATGTTCCTTGTTTTGATTACCCAATAGCTGTTATCAGGGCCATAAGAAGAGTTTCATACCCCATCAATCTATGATACATTCCCTATCTGGCATTGCTCAGAAGAAATAACTTCATCTTAGGTTTCATTGCTATGTTGAAATTCAATAACATGTTGATTCATTGTCTTGATAATCAATCTGATGTCATTGCAAAGACTCAGGGGCCTAGATTTCTCAAGAATATGACTGGAGGTCTCCCTTTTTCCAAATGAGATTGGTTGGAGGGAATTATATACAAATCTTTTTTTTTTTTTTTTTTTTTTAAACAGAAAATAATTATAGGATGGATATTCCACTATGTATTAAAATAAATATATTATCTATGTATTTTAACAAATTAACACCAGTAATTATTTAAATCAGAAAATAATTACTTCATTTAAAATGATTTATTTAGTTTCATATTGCTTTTTAAAAAAAAGGTATTTTATGCTTAAATTGTTTTTGTCAGTAAAGTAAAAAAGTAATGACAGAGACTGATTTCATGAAAAAATATTGTTAATTCAAAAACAAATCTATAAAGTTGTAAACCATCTTTCATGTCCTGTCTACAATAGAAAGAATTATATATATATATCTATATATATATATATATATATATATATATATTATTTGAAAGCATAAATATTTTTGGAAAATTTTAAATTTAGTAAAAATTTTATTAATAATAAAAATAATTCAACAGAATATTTTTGAAATCATAAAAATTAAATTAAATAGTTTAGTAAAATGTTTATGATCCCCAAACCCCAGCATGTTTAAAACAATTGTGTATATTTGTTTGTTTTTGCATTCATTTTTAAAATTTAATATCTAAACTTTAAAAAAATTAATTTGAATAAAATGGTAAAAGAGAGTTAAAAATTTCCCAATTAAAAAATATTGAAAAAGATGATTTATATATTTGTGGAATATCTGATTGTATTAAAACTACTGAAAATCCCCCCCTCCCCAAAGTATCTATAGGAATTTATTCTGTTGTGTTTTAACAATCTTTGTTTTGAATATTTGAATAAATATTAAACTTTTTTCAAATAATTTTATTTAATATTCTTATTCTTTTTAAACTTACGTCATTTCATTATTCATTTTTTAAAGTTATGCTTTTATCTATATAGGTATAGAAATAATTTCAAAGAATAGAAATTTTAAAAATACATATGTTTCAAAATTATCAGCAGAATTAAAAAGCAAAAACGAATGGGAATAATAATTATTCCTGTTCATTTTTACTTTTTAAAGAAAAGATGTTTTTTTAAAACATTTAAAAAAAAAAAAAAAAAAACATCTTCATTTTTATATATATATATATATATATATATATATATATATATATATATTTTTTTTTTTTTGAGACTTTCATGTGCAAAACAAATTCATGGATTTGGATGTAGAAAAAAGGGAACCACAGAATGGTGTCAGAATCCATGAAATCTTTTCATCATCAATAGTCAGATTAACATATATAAATGTAGGTAGAAAGAAAAACAAAGGTTCATAAGATAGCAAGGTTTAGAAAGGACTGACCAGAGCCCCCTACCCCTGGTTGACTATGGGGTACATACTGGGATTAGATTAGATCTCATTGTTTGTGAAAATTTCAAGTTCTTTTCATTAAATTTGACAACATTGCAATGACTCCAAAAAACTATGTAAGTATAATAATAATGGTTATTTGTTTCCAAGTTATCAATCCCTGTTGTAGACGCCTGCTCAGGCACATTTGTGTTTGTTCTAGCACCCATAGAGTCTGCCTGTGGTTTATACTGTAACTATATGGAGTGGACCTTAGTTACAGTTTCTAGTAGAGAGTACATCATCTGGTGAAATCAAGTTTGAACAGGGCCAGTCCACTCAAATCCTTAGTCATGATGACTTGTGACTTCACGCTTGTACTATCGCTCACAAGGCTTGGGCCCACCCATGATATGATTTTTAGGCACTTTCCAGAGGTACTACATGCTAGGATTGCCTCTCCAAGCTGATAACATATTTTAAAAAACAAAAAAAAAAGACTGTTCTGACAAATTGACTATGGTAAAATTCAAACCTGTGCATCATAGGTGGGAAGTGAATATTTTAATCTAGTGCTTTTCGGAGCACTGACGTTCCACAAGAAATTGTGATAAATAGGTTAATGCATTTTTCAGTAATTTTTGTTTAATTTTATTTTCATAATTTTACTATACACATGGCATATTGTTGGAAAATCATTGGTTATTATTATAAAGGCTTCAACCTCTTATAGTATTTAAAATTATAATAATCATGGGATATTGGTTATTTATGTTTATTTTTGTGTGTGTTTATGTTGTAGAGTCGGACTTAGCACACATCCTGGTATTTCCTACTATTGTGACAATCATCTACTCCTACTTATAAATATGTCAAGTAGCCACATTGGAGTAGGGTTTAAGGAGTGGTTGATTTGCTTAAGTTTATTCGTTCTATGAACGATATTGGGCAGGCATTATCCAGTAGTGTACGTATGGAATTGGGAAAGCTATATAACAGTTTTTTTTCTCAGTCGAGAGAGGCACTCTGAATGTGCAGATGTGTGGAAACCAGACAAGATGAACACATTAGAACAGTTTACAGTTTTTTTTTGTGAATGAAAACCTCAGTGTGAGATAAACACATAAACAAGCAATATGATTTTTTTCTTTTGCATTGCCAATAAATTTGACAAAAAAGGTGGTCATTTTTCTTTAAACCAGTTATCCCCAAAAATACATGTTTACCATGTGAACAATGATAAAAATATAAGAGATAGAAATTAATAACGGTATATAATCATTTTTATTCCAGTGTTACCTGAGACATGAAAACTATTTCAAAGGTCCCACAAGAATAAAAAGGTTGAGAAACACTGTTCTAACCACTTGGCCATGTGCCCATATGTTGGATAGTATATTTGTTTGTGAAAAACAGTCATTTACTTATTTATATACAAGGATGAATTGATAAACTGATACATAGTTATTAACTGAATTTTGATCTGAAACTTTCATTGTATAATGCTCAATTGCCACTGAATTAAGTGTTGGAGTAAGAAATTTTCTGAAAGTTTTTACAAAGTTTGAATTAATTGGCAATTAGTTGATGTTTTGCCAATCATTCCAATAAACAATCTAATAAATAAATAGTTTATGTGGTTTGAAAACAAAAGTGAATCAAGGTGAAGAACACATACTTACCAACTCCTACCAGAGAAAAGAGCTGGAAGGAAATTGATACCTGTAGTCTTTAGCTTGGTTCCTTTCTTTTCAATTTACCAATAATAGATCAGTTAGAATTCTGACTGCTTTAACCAATCCAACCAAATATAACACCTGGATTTCTGTCTCTCTTCTTTTTTATAGTTTCCACTGTGTCTTCTCATTTCTCATATAACAAAAAAGCCCCCTCCCACTAACTGGTGGTAGGGGGGATTTATATATCTACATTTTTTTTTTCAGAATGCCTTTGAAGTTATCCATAAAAAAAAAAACACTCTTCATTCATTCAGTTTCTTTACAGGCACTCAGGTATTTAAAAACCTCTCCCTCTGGTCATTTATTCAAACCACAGTTTATCATTTTTGTTGTCAATTCTCAAGAACAAAGAAAATGTGTAAATTCACTTTCATCACATCTTTAGATTTTATTCCAGTTTTTAAAACAATAAACATTGCTGAGACGTGAAGGTAATAATGACACCAATGGAAAAACTCTTTTCGATACACTTCTTTTTCTGGACATGAAGGTCCAAGTGTGCCAAAATATTTTAGCAAGATTTATATTTCTGTCTGAATGGCCAGTGGAATGAGAACAAGCTACTGTTGTAGATTAAATAAAGGATTCAGTTCCAAATACCCTGAAGGCTACCCACTTTGAGCAGACATCTGAGAAAGCCCAAATGGCACAATAGCAAAAATGCTGAGGTAATAGCATCAAAGATAGAGATATTAGTCCAAATGTAAATAATGTGGACCAAATTTGTCTCTCGATTAAATCGAACCAGTATCCTCATTTTTATTGTTTTTACCTATTCAACCTTCATTGCAATGTAAAGGCTGATATTTCAGTCGCAATATATGGTCTGGTGTCTCCGCTGTTCATCACAGGGTTCTTGACAAAATCCAAAGACGGATATGTAATATGATAGGTCCTGACTTGGCATCTTGACTCACATCACTTTCTCACAGATGTGATGTGGCTTCCCTCTGTCTTTTCTACAAATATTTTCATGGCAACTGTTCTGACAAGCTATTTTCACTGGTGCCTTAACTTCATGAATTTAA